TCCTGTATTGCAGACTCAGAAAATATACTAAATTGTTACTGGAATGGTAATGACAGATTACCTCTAATGTAATGCGGTTTTACTTTTGACAGTGGGTACTCCTTTGTACCTTACAGAGACCAGTCTTCAGCTTGTGATGTCTTTTTTGTGCCTTAATGTGATGTTAAAAATATGTAATTTTAAAAAGGTGCAAAACTGGCTACCCATTATTTAAAATATAATGACAGGTAGATGGGCTCACAGTTGTGTAGCATTTTTTGGTCTTTTACTTCTTACTGTGGAGTCACAGTGTGAACCTTGGCACCACCAAACTACCAGTATGCAACATGAATACAGAAGAAAACTGACTTTTCACCCAGTTTCTTGTTGGATGTGGCCTAAAACAGACAGTCTCCTGCTCCGCCCTTCTCCCCAGGACTGGCTTCAGTTTGGGATCCCAGTAATTCTAATATTGGTGAAGTATCATAGTCTGTTGTTTTGTTTTCCATAAGGGTCTTGGAGAATTGGACATTTCTGGCCCTTTGCTTAGAGCCAATTTGCTTTGGTAGACACTATCAGAGCCAAATTATGCTTACCAACACACGTCTTAAGATCACTAAAGCACACAAGCCCCTCCCAAACAATAAGGTGGCAAATCAATGAGAGGGATGCTGAATGTGTAAGTAGCATTGAGACCGCTCAGGATGCGCTGGAATGCAAAACTGAGTTCAGACTGCTTGATCATTTTATTGTTTTATGTATAAGACTTAATAAAAGAAACAAAAACCCAACAAAACCACATGAAAAAAGCAAGTAATGTTATTTATGATTGTTTTGTGGAAAAAGGGCCACCCGTCTTTCCGTAAAGTGTTTCTAAAAGACAGCATTTAACAGATCATTTTGTGTTGTTTTCCCTTAACAGAAATATGAGGAGACACCCACAGAGCTGTGGACATGTTCAGACAGCAGCCTGAAGGTCTGCAGACTAATGCAGCAGATTTTAATAGTTGGTCTTACAGGGCTGAATCCAATGCCTTTTCCTGTGATTTCACGTTCACTTAATAACAAAACAATAAACATCATTAAACAAATGAAACATTAAATTAATGATTTAGTAAAAAAAAAAAAAAAAGACATGCATTTGTGCATCTTGCTACCTCTGCATAAATCGGCAGCATTAATATGCATCAATAAACAGCGTGCTTTGGATCTTAGGCCTCATAAAATCTGTGGGGATTTTTCAGATTGCAACAAAATATTTAATGATGCTATTATTGTTCCTTCAGACCAAAGAACCTAGCAGAGACACAGACAGTGCAGTGTTGTGTTATATCACATTTAAATAATAAGCACAACACACCCAGCAGTGCAGTGCACAATAAAATGATAATGGACAACGTTCAAATGTTGCATTTGCAGGTTTTCAAAAGAAAACCAATTTCATCCTCTGCTGGTCATTTTGTGTAAGTGCAACATGACTCAACACAGCTCACAACACACAAGCCTTTCAAGGTAAAACCCGAGACATGTTAAGTCTGCCAATCCAAAGGCTAGGTCCCCAACTATCATGATTTGTAATATAACTCCGTTAGGATTATTTTTTAATCTGTTAGAAGACTTACATAGCGATTTTTCAATCTATTGTTGGCTACAGTAAGGCCTGCAGTGTTTGTGAATGTGTGTGTGCTTGTAATCATATTTACTGTAAAGTTGTTCACAGCTGAAGAACAATGATTGCACAGGGTGGATATTGCACAATCAAAGGAGGCATACCCTTCAGTGTTCATTTTGTTTCCATCCATACATTTATTGTTTGTTACTTAATATTTTACCTACCCTGGGATACGTGCTGTTTTCAGTCTGTGTGCTTTGGCCTGTGCTGCCTCTTTTTACATGTGTGTCCTAATCAGTGCTGAATGTTTGACGTCCACGTTGCTTAATTAATGACAAACTTAAAAATAAAAAGTAAGAGAAGGTATAAAAGTTCTCTCTTAAAAATACCAGTGTGTCACATGATGAGTATGATGTTCTTCTTTTGTAAGCCAATTAAGCCAATCAATGAGCAACACTTCCACTTGTAATCCATCAAAATATACACCACTGCATATGAAGGCGAGTTCATGGGTGTGCAATAAAAGCAGTAACATTGTGTGTATATTTGCACATAAACCTCTCACTTGTCCTGCAGTTTTGTTTTGCTCACATGGTACTGTTGATGTTTGACGCTTTCAAATTTAGCCTCTCAATAATACAATAACAGATATGGGACCAACTCAGATAATGTAGATGTACTGCTGATGCAATGTTTGAATCTAGGGGAGCCAGTATGAAGCAGGAGTTATTATTTCTAAGTCTTAAATTCAGTGAAATTAAATTTCTTCTTATTTTTCCTCCCAAAACCTCCATCTTCATCAGGTAGTTCTCACCTTTTTATTATGTCTGTGTAAGATAAATTACGCTAAGCCCTCTGAAGCTACAAATGGTCATTATGTTGTCAGGTTTGTGCTTGTGAACCCACCACATCTCGAGAATATAGTGACAGTGCAAACTTGTATGAATGACTGAAGGTTTTACTGTGGAAATCAGAGGTTTACTCAGGTCATGCTGTAGTTCTTCACCCATTCACAGTCAGCTAATACCAACAGGTGGAGGAAAAACAACAGCAACTTGGGTTTGGCTGACGTGAGACAAGCTTTACTCAATAAATGAATGTAGAGCACATCTTATCTTTGTTTGGGACAATGTGGGGTGCTTTACTAATGCTGGGAAGGGGTCTAGTATTAAATAAACAGACACACAAGTTATGCAGGTTAAAATGTAAGCGTCAGTGAAAGCTAAGGTTTACTTTTGTAGTCTTGCAGTACCATCATAGCTGTTCTGTCTGGCAATCATTACCAGGCTTTAATATGAATGCATCC